GTTCACAGCTGTCCAAAATTCTAATGTTGAAGCCTCTGTGATCACCAATGTGTTATGAGGTGAGGCTGCTTGGAGGTGATTAGGTCCTGAGGGCCCAGTGTACACCAATGGGATACGTGCCCATGTACAAGGGCTGCGGGAGCTGCTTTGCCTCTTGGACCAGGTGAGGACACATGAATGAAGGAACCACCTCTGAACCAACAATCAGGCTTTCACTGGACACCTTATCTGCTGACATTTTGGGGTTTTTTTTTTTTGTTTTTTTTTTTTCTGCTGACATTTTGATTTTGGGCTTCCCAGCCTTCAAAACCATGCAAATAAATATCTACTATTTGTAGCTGCCTAAGTCAATGGGATTTTTTTTTTTTTTAATAGCAGTCTGAAAGACTAAGACACTAAGGGCAAGACAAATTCATCACACCAAAATAAGAGTCAAAATCATTTTAAGATATAAAAGTTTAAAAATTATTTTTTGTCATAAAATATACACAACATTTGTCATTTTATTTTTTATTTTATTTTATTTTATTTTTTTTGTGGTACCAGGAATTGAACTCAGGACCTTATTTATTTTTTTATTTATTTTTATTTATTTATGTGTGTGTGTGTGTGTGTGTGTGTGTGTGTGTGACCAGCTCAGCCCACCAGGGGGCGGGGCTGGCTGGCATGTGGTGCTGGGGGATTGAACCATGGTCTCTCTGCTTTAGCTTAGCTTGTTCTAGGTAGGTGCTTTAGACCACTGAGCCATCTCACCAGCCCAACATTTGTCATTTTAAACATGTTTACATTTATGGTTCAGTATCATTAAATACATTCATTTTGTTATATAACTATCCCTACTATGACTATCCAGAAATTTTTTTTGATCAATCCATACTGAACCTCTGTACCCATCAAACAACTCCACATTCTTTCATCCCCTCAAACCCTGGGAACCATCATTCTGCATTATTTCTACAAATCTATTCTAGGTAATATCACACAAATAGACACAATATTTGTGCTTTTGTGTTTAGCTTATTTCACTTTGTAAGTTTCATCTTTATTTTAGCATATATCAGAATTTCCTTTTTATGCTTTCATAATATTCCATTCATTTGTGTATGTGTGTATTTTGTCTATCCGTTGATGGACACTTAGGTTGTCTTTACCTTTTGGCATTTATGAATAATGCTATTATGAATAAGAGTATACAGATGTTTGAGATGCTGTTTTCAATTAATTTGAGTATATTATCTACAGTAGAATTGCTGGGTTGCATAATTCTCAATAATGCTTTTTTTTGGGGGAACCGGGGTACTTGCGCTTGCCAGGCCAAGTGCTTATTCCACTGAGCTATCTCCCCGGCCCAAAATTTCTTTTTTTTTTTTTCCCCAGAACCAGGGATTGAACTCAGATCCTTGTGTTTGCCAGTCAAGCGCTTATCCTACTGAGCCATCTCCCCGGCCAATAATGCTTCATTTTTAAGGAAATGCCACAGGATTTTCCACAGCAACTACTCTAGTTTATATTCCCACAGAGTACACAAGAGATACAATCCCTGCCTGTTCTTGCCAATCTGCCTATTTTCTGTTATTTCATTTTTGAAAGGAGTTATCTTTTTGATAGACATGTTGGTGAGGGTGAAATTGTTATAGGCAACTAAGTCAGATAAAATATTATAGGCAGTTACATAGGGTTATGCCCTGGAAGGATGAATGCAGAAGATATGCTAAAACTGTGGGAGAGATAAGAGACCTTTGATATGGGCCAGACCTCAAGATAAAAGATAAAACAAGAAGCCAGGCATGGTAGCACACACCTATAGTCCCAGCACTTGGGAGGGTGAGGCAGGATTGTTACAAATTCAAGACCAACCTGGAGCATAAGGCCAGCTTGAAATGCATAGCAAGACTGTCTTTAAAAAAAAAAGATAAAAAAATGCATCCACCCATATACTTCCTAAGGATAAACATCAGGGACTGATAGTCTAAATAGGAATCCATTACCTTGAGAGAGCTGGAAAGAGCCACTAACCCAACCCCCTACAAAAAAAGCTCCTGTTTTGTTTTCATACTGGCTTGCTAGGTGACTTGCTTCCCCATTTGATCCCAATTTAGTCACTTTTATCTGAGCAATTATATTAGTTGTTTTTTTTTGTTTTTTTTTTTTTTTTGGCAGAACCGGGGATTGAACTCAGGCACTTGCACTTGCCAGGGAAGTGCTTATTCCACTGAGCCATTTCCCTGGCCCTGAGCAATTATATTAGTAATCTTATTGGTTGGCCATAGTTTTTCACCACCTCTTGCCCACCTTGTGATTTTCCATTTCCCACCTTGGACCCACCTCATGTCATATCTTTGCTCTATAAAAAAATCCTGAGAAGAAAAAGGCAGGGTCTTTGGTGATCCACTTGGGACTCCTTTTGTCTGTCAGACAGTAGCTTTCTTTGCCCCAGTAAACATATTCTGCTCTTAACCTCTGTTGTTCCTAAAATTCATTCTTTCATTTTAGAGAACACAAACTCATACAAGACATTTAGCAGGTTGGGAGTTTCTTTCCCCTATATCAAAATACCTCATTTATTTTTATTTTCATTTCCTTAATGATTAGTGATGTTGTACATACATCTTTTCTTGTGCTATTAGTAATTTGAATATAATAATTTGTTTTGCTTTGTTTTGAGACAGGGTCTCAGGGCTGGGGAGATGGTACAGTAGAATAAGTGCTTGCCTGGCAAGCGCAAGAGCCTGAGTTCAATCCTTAGTTCCACCAAAAAAAAAAAAAAAAAAAAGACAGGGTCTCACCATGTAGTTTAGGCTGGCTTTAACTGATTATATAGCCCAGGCTGGCCTTGAACTCCTGACTCTCCTGCCTTATCCTCCACAATGATGGGATTACAGGCTGTGGCACCACACCCAGTTCTTATATCTTTTTTGCAGGAGTATCCAGTCAGGTCCTTTGATTTTTTTTTTATTTTAAATTTAGGACAGCGTGTACAGGGTTTCACTGTGTAGACTGGACTTGAAGTGATCCTTCTCTTTACAGCCTCCTAAGTGCTGGGATTACAGGTGCGCACCACCACGTCCAGTCTCAGTTGCCATCTCAGTGTCTGCCTAAACAGGGGCTTTAATCTGTTGAGCTACTTAGTTGGCCCTAGGGCCTTTGAATAGCAAACCCCCCCCCCCCCCCCCCCCCCGCGGTACCAGGGATTGAATGAATAGCAAACTTTTGACCACGAGATTTCTATCCCTGGGCATTGGTATCTACATGGCTTTATCAAAAAGAATTGAGTTGGGGTCGGGGAGACAGCTCAGTAGAATAAGCGCTTAGGGCCTGAGTTCAAATCCCTGGTTCCGGAAAAAAAAAAATTGATTTAATGCCTTTCTTTTAACCAACAAAACCAAAGCTAAATGGTTCCCTGTACTGTACTTGTTGGTTGTTAGCTCCAAGAAATACAAAAATGCATTGTTTAAAGTTCTTTACTGGGATTCCCTAATATATGGTTAAATCTGTATTTCCTAACTATATTTTCATGAGTACCCATTACATGTGTGCCCCACTTTTGTGTACCTACTATATTAGTGTCCTACTTTCGCCATCACAAATGACCACACCTTAAAATCTTAAAAACAGCATAAAATTACTGGATTATAATCTGGAGGTCAGAAATATAAAACCAAGGTATCTGCAGGCCTGTGTTCCTTCTTCAGGGATGAAAATTCCCGCTTCAGCTTCCTGAGGCTGCCTGCGTTCCTTGAATCACTGTCTCTTCTTTGTATCTGCCCCAGTGTCAGAGGTGATCTTGAACTTCGTGCCTCCCTTCTTATAAAAATTCTTAGGGCTACACACTGTGCCCACTGGATAATCTAGGTTTAATCTTTTCATTTCTATCCTAATCACATCTGAAAACTTCCCGGTTGCCAAATAAGGTAACATAGTGTGTTCCAGGAATAAAGAAGTGCACGTTTAAGCGTAATGTTACCCTACCACATCTACAGTCTGCCTGAGTGCAACGTGAAATTAAAGCCTTCAACATTAATTCGGTAGATACCATTTTCCTCTTAGATTACTTTTATTTTATTGATAAATAAATATGAATGAGACCGTTTCAAAGCTGAATAGGACAGTTTCATATATAATCAATATTTTTAAATTACTTTAACTACATCTCCTTTACCAGTAACTTTCTAATGTGTTAGCAGCCCTTCGTCCATAGAACAGACTATGCGCACGAACAGTCTCCGATGCATTTTGCTCATATAAAACACCACACAATAGCTCTACGTATGTATCACTATTGTCGTTTTGGTAAGGAATTACAAGAACCGTAACAGCTTTCTCTATCAAATAATTAACGAGGGCTGGTGAGATGGCGGCTGGTGAGATGGCTCAGTGGTCTAAAGCACCTACTTAGAACAAGCTAAGCTAAGCAAAGCACAAGGACCGCGGTTCGATTACCCAGCACCACATGCCAGCCAGCCCCGCCCCCTGGTAGGCTGAGCTGGCCACACACACACTAAATAAATAAATTAATAATAATAATTAACGATCACTAAAACTACTCATCCTATAGCACAGTAGGTAGGAAGAGGTAGAACAACATCGACCATGCTCTGAAGAACAGATGCCTTCAGGGCTTCCTTTCCCGTGCCTGGAGTCCCAAGTGGAAAGAAAGCTCCCTGCTACTTCCGGCTCGGGCGCTTCGCCCCCTCTTTTCCCTTTCCGCTCGCTCCGCCCCCGGAAGCAACCGACTGGACGCTCGGGACTCGCGCGCGTGCGCGCTCCAGAGGAGTCGCGCGCAGGCCGTCGGGAGCGCGCCCGTGTGCCTGTGCGTGCGACCGGGCCCGCGAACGCCCCGGCTCCCAGGTGAGCGTCGCGCGAACTACCCTCTAGGTCTCTGTCCGAGGCGAGCCCGCTGTAACCTACCACGCGTTCGGGATCCGTTTGCGGCCTCCGAGCCTCGGTAGCGGCCAGCACTCGGGGTGGGTACCGCGAAGCCTGCGCGGAGGTCGGGAGGCACGCCGGACGGGCCCCCAGCACCCAGCTCCGCCAGCTCTGGGTCTGCCCGCACCCTCGCCGCGGGCCCTGGGGGTAACTACAACAGAGGCGTCCGGGTGGGGACGGCGGACCTGCCCCGGGCCGCGCTGGAGGTGGCGTGGGCCCGGGTCGGCTCTGAAGTGAGATGTGGTCGCGTCCGGAGCCTCGGTTGTGATTGTTCTCGCCTCCGCGGACTTGAACCCGGACCCTGAGACCTGAGGCGCTCTAGTTTGTCTGCTTCCTCCCGAGGTCTGAACGGGTCGTGGACCGAGCTTTAAGTTCGTGGAGACCAGATTTTTACGTTGGGCCAGGATTTTTGTACCCAGCTGAGTATCTTTTTGGGACCCTATTGTGTATCTAGACAAATGGAATGTCACAGGAACAAAATGAGATTTTGTAAAGAAAGATCGATTTTTTTTTCTGTATATTTTCCTGATGTTATATGAAAGCACTAGTATTTCTATTGCCGGCTCCTCCTGAGCTATACAAATGGTGTCTAAGAGACTCTCAAGCAACTTTGGCAAAACCTCCCCTTGATGGAGTATCAGAGGGTTATGATCCAATGAATTATCTTCTAATTTTACTCTTTTCCCAATTGGTGTTGCAGAGAGAATTTTTAGTATCTTATGAAGCAACCGTTCGTTGTTCTTAACTTAGTCTCTACTGTAATTAAATGTCACTTTGAAGTAAATGGTACTAGAGAATTACTTAGTGGATGGGATTGATACCTTTTCCTGTACATTAAATCACCTGAGTGTTTGGATGCTTATTTTCACCTTATCTGTCAGACATTGTGGATCTAAATTGAAGCATGACATTTCCCAGAGAGTGGGCAGTGCACCTCTGCCGAACTGTGACCACTCAGGGAAGCAGATGGCTTACAAGGGTATCCTTCTGCTATATGTATCTGCAGGGAGTGAGGGAAAAGGCTAGGAACTGTAAGAAAGCTAGATTGAAAACAAGATGATTTTCCTGCTTACATAGCTAACAAAGGCAGAACTAGGGTTTGATCTCACCTGTCATCACTCCAGACTTTGTGGCATAAACATTCTTTAAATGGCTAATAATTGTCCGATGCCTCTCTCGGCCCTGGATGAGCACCTAGGCTGGTAAGGATTTTTTTTTTTTTCCTCTTTCTCAGGTGATGATACTGAGTATTGAACCTAGAGGCCTTTTTTTTTTTTAATTTTTATTTATTTATTTATTTATTCATTGTGTGTGTGTGTGGCCAGCTCAGCCCACCAGGGGGCGGGGCTGGCTGGCATTGGTGCTGGGGCATTGAACCGCAGTCCCTGTGCTTTGCCAAGCTTGTTCCAAGTAGGTGCTTTAGACCACTGAGCCATCTCTCCAGCCCTAGAGGCCTTTATACTTCCCTTCATCCCTAGCCCCTTTATAATTTTGAGACCTGATTACTGTAAGTTGCCCAGGCTGAGCTTGGACCTGCTGTCCTGCCTCAGCCTACTAGAGTGCCAGAATTTGAGGTGAGGTGTGCTACTGTACCAGGCTGATTTTTGTTTTCTTTTCTTTTAAAAAGAGGTCTTGCTTTGTTGTCAAAGCTAGTCTGGAATTCCACGGCTCTTGGTCTTCGCATCTCAGCCTGCCAAGCACTGCAAAGCTGGTGGGCACGTCTAACCAATCTGATAAGGAGAAAAGTGTAGAAGGGAAGAAAACTCCTCTGAGGCTCTGCAGCTGGGCTCCTGGAAATTAAACTGATAAGACAGATTTACAAGATAAAAAGCTACCATGTTTTATTATGACATGGGCCTTCCTGAAAAAGAAGTGTTAGACCCAAAGGAGAACCATTTTAAATAGAATGGTAAATTGTGAAAAACAGAACAAGAAAAAAGGGTTTTAGGCCTGTGAATTGGGAGGGTAAATGCAAGGGGGAACAAATGGAAGATTGTCTCAGGAATGTTAGTTTGTACTAAATTTTCATCTCAGCACCACCTTTCTTTTCCACGGCCAGAGACCTTCCCTGGGAGAGAATACTGGCAGTTTTCATTCTTCAGAAGCTTCTGCTTTTAGTCAGAGAAAGTAACCTGTGGGGGAGCCTTTTGTTGGCTCTCAGTTGTCCTCAGCCCTAAAAGATTCTCTAAAAGGCAGCATATTGTGATCCCCATCACAAGCAAGGAAGGAAACTGTTAACTTTGAAAAACAAGGATTTCATAAGGCTCAGGGACAGACTTGGGTTCAGACTTCGTTGAGGATTGGAACTGTTCTTGGCCTCCAGGAAAGCTGAATTTTCTTTGCAAGTGTTTTTTTTTTTTTTTTTTGGTTCCTCGAATGCCTTCAGGACACTTTTGGCCAGCGGGAGAGTTGTGAGGTTCGAACTCCAGCAACTTGAGGCTGACAGCTTTGTGGAAGCAGCCACTTAAAGGACTGAGCTAGGGCCACGGCCCCTGCAAGTGGTCCTCTTATTTTTGCTTCAGCAGATACAGGGACTGAAAGCTCTTCCTCTTGGAAAGTAGCCCAATCTAGTTCTAGTTTTTGAGCAGTTCTTTTTTTTTGCGGAACTGGGGATTGAACTCAGACCCTTGCGCTTGCCAGGGAAGCACTTATTCCACTGAGCCATCTCCCCAGTTCCTTGAGCAGTTCTTGTATTAAACTTGAAACAGGTGTTTTGTGCACCCGGGTGGTACAAATTCCACCTTGGAACAACAAGTAGCAAATCTGAAATCTTTTTTAAATCTCACAGTTCTGAAATGAAAGTGCCTGAACATTCCCTTTCCTTTAGTCATGACTTGTATTTGCTGTTACAAGTCTCTGGTTCTGTACACCAGTAATCAGACTTAGATTCTACTCTTTACCTAAAATTAAATGCTTTATTAAAAAATTATTTGACCAAGCAAAATATCATGAACTTATAGTAAGACTATACAGCTATCTTGGTATAATTTAAGAGTATATTTTGGCGTCCATGTTATACTTTGCCACTTGATTGCTTCAGCTCTTTTTTCAACTGATCCCTCTTTTAAGCTGGGATCCTTGATGTGATTCCCCTCTTCACCTTCCTGTCTTATATCCTGCTGCAGGTTGAGCATCCTTAAGTCCACAATGTTTCAATCTCAAAACTTAACAATTCAGATCAGTCAAATCACTTGTATTTGTTTGCTAAACTTTAGTATTTTCATAAGGAACGCACCAGGAACTTATCATTTGTCTAGGTATTCCTTAATTCAGTGATGCCAACACCTAAAAGTTGTCATTGGGTGAAGTGTAAAATCCTTTCAAACTTGAACGTTGGGAACTGTGAGGGTAGAGTTAGGAAGAGCATGAGCTCCAACATTTAAAGTTACCAGAAATTACTAACAGTGTAGTTTGTCCCCTTACACACACACACACACACACACACACACACACACACACACACACAAAGAGACAGAGACAGAGACAGACAGAAATAGACATGCAGGATATTTTCAGAGTTAGCAACTTCCAGAATTGTCAGTGTCCTTGCTTGAAGTACTTTTGGAATTCTACTACCTTCTTTGGAAAGGGAGTTTGGTCACAGTGTGGAAAAGGGGAACCTCTAGTTAATTTAAAGTTTAGTCTTAATTGCATGTTTTTAACCATGTCAAGGTGAGAAAAGAAAAAAAAAAACAATAACTAAGACACATTTTAGCACTTTGCGTTTTATTTTAAAGGCAAATTATCAAAAAGGGTAGCTTGGGGTGGTGTTAATGTTATGTTGGGGGTGTATGAAAACTGTTCATTCAGTGGCTATTTGGATTTGCTTTGTTTTTCTTTTTGAACTGAGTGAGCAGAATTGAATTGGTAATCATTAGTCAGTCTTTAAGATTGTGACGACCCATAATTATAAGTTCTTGCCCAAGTAAGTCTTTTTTCCCCCCAATCTTCTGCTTCCCCCTCCTCATAATATAATACTCTTAGCTTTTTCATGTCTGCCCTTCTAATCCATGCTTTATAACTATTTATATATCTAGCTCAGGAAGAATGTAGAATTGCTTTGTGTATGTTTTAAGTTTTACACAATTATAATATATTGTTGCTTTTTTAACGTATTTATTTATTTGGTACAGGGTCTTATTACACAGCTTGGACTCATAGTGATCCTCCTGTTTCAGCCTGTCCAGCGCTTGGATTACAGGCATGTGCCTCCATGCTTAGTTTTGTTGGCCAGCAAGGCTGGGACCAGCACAGCATGGAGTACTAGGGATCAAACCATGTCCTTGTGCTTGCCAGGCAGGTGCTTAGATCACAGAGCTATCTCCTCAGCCCCTGTTGCTCTTTTAATTCTGCTTAGCAACATTATTTCTGTAGATCTCAGCTTACCTTTTTTTCTGGAATAGCATTTGTTAAATAACATTTTATTTATCCATGTACCTTTAGTAGACATTGAGATTGTTTCTAATTCATCACTATTACAGGGTTGTTAAGAACATTTTTCTACATAGTCCCAGGATCAGACAGCCCCAGGAAGTAGCAGAACCAGGCTTTATGCTTGGGGTTGTCTGACTCACTCACTTTTTCAAACACCAACCTGACTCCCATTCATCACTTATAGCACAAATAGTTTTAGGCTACCAGTAATACAAATTTTTGAAAAGTTCCAGTGGGATTAAATTGTTAGTGGTTTTTTTTTTTAAACAGGTCAACTCTTAATTTCTAATTTTGTCCCTACAGTTTTTGTTTAAGTGAATAAATTGTATCATTAACTAGTATATACAACAGCTCTATATTCTATATTTTTCATGCTGATGTATTATCTACATCACGTCCATGAACTTTTTTTTTGTGCGGAACCGGGGATAGAACTTAGGCCCTTGTGCTTGCCAGGCAAGTGCTTATTGTACTGAGCTATCTCCCTGGCCCCCATGAACTTTTTCAGTGGAAGGTCCGGTGGTAAATATTTTGGTTTTTGTTCGTCACAGGCTGACTCAGCTACTCAGCTCTGCAGTTCTAGTATGAAAGCTATCAAAGCCAAGATATAAACCCAGGAATGGGCTGTGTTCTAATAAAACTTCATTTAGAAAAACAGGTGGCAGACCAGATTTGACCCTGAACAGTAGTTTGCTGATCCTGAATCTATGTAATTATTTTAATGCCATCATTTTTTTTCTGTATATAAATTTTTCAGTATTACAACTAATTCTGTAGTACTATTTTCTCTTTTGGATGTTATAATCTTAGGGTAAATATCTAGAAATGAAATGAAAAGAGGGCATTAATTTATGCAATGGAAAATAATCCTACATTTTAATGTTTATTAGGAATACGTTTTATACACATGTATACATATGTTGAGATGTACTTACGAATATTTCCATTTAAGTCTAATTTTGTTAAAATTTTATAGTTCATTTGTGCTTTGTTTTGTTTTTGTTTTTGTTTGGCAGAACCAGGTATTGAACTCAGGCCCTTGTGCTTGCCAGGCAAGTGCTTATTCTACTGAGCCATCTCCCCGGCCCCTCATTTGTGCTTTGATAAGTGTTCAGTTTATAAAATGTATTAAATTTCATTGAACATTGTATACCATTTGTAAACTCAGAATTTCTTATCCACCGAGAATGTACCAAGACTTGTTTATAAACCAAGTCAGTCTAAACTAAACTGATGGGGCTGGTGAGATGGCTCAGTGGTCTAAAGCACCTACTTAACCTAAACTGATTTAGGCAGTCAGGTTCTCTTAAGCATTGAAAAGATTACAGTTAAATTTTTTTTATAAATCTAAGGGTTGGAGATGTAGCTCAACAGCAGAGTACTTGCCTTGTGTATTTGATGCCCTGGGTTTGATTGGAACATTGTAAAATAATAATACAAATTTACAAGTCTAATATATATGAATTTCTAAAGTCTTCCAAGCCTTAAAGTCAAACAAAATGTACTTAATGATGATAAAATGTATTGCCATATATGCTTAACCCATTATATTAATGTATCACATTATAGTTAGTAATAGAATTGTGCTTTATTTGTAAATCATAGCTATACTTGTTTATTGAATCTTTAGGTTGTAGGATCACTTAAAGAACTAAAGGCTGCAAAATATGCTGGCTGTTAGGGTATTCATTATGCAATTTTTTATTGCCTGATTTGATATAATGAATTAGTCATAATTTGACGATAGAGAGCACAGAATTGCATTGTTGTCTACAAATAATTGTAAGCATGTATGTGTACATTTTTTCTTTAATGTAGTACATATTATTTGTGCTGCTTTTTATATGTCATTGTAGACTCATAGCTTTCCACAGGAGTATTATTTTTATTTTGTCTATTTTCTCTATATTATTGCTCAGTGCTAAGGTACCTAGTTTATAAGTGGCAATCTTTTAAAACTTGATCTTTTAATTTTCACTACTCCAGGCATATTTAAATATTGTGCTTTCTGGCAACAATAAAATATTCCAATAAGATGATTGTTTTCTTTACTTTCTGTAATAAAATCAGCTGCCTTCCAGAGCATCCTTGGCTTTTTAAATGTATAATAATAGTATTAGAGATCCATTGTGAACTTAAGATTATCTGTAACAGATGTGACTCTGCTTCTTACACCAGTGTACAGTAGTTGTACAGTAATAATATAGGCAAATAGCTTTTTAGGGTTATGACTTTATAGTGTGATGTTTCTACTTTATTTCTGATTTGTGGAATATTGCTGTTTAAAATATTTTTTTTTTTAATTTATGTGCTCCATACATAGATTTGTAAGTCAACTAGTAATGTAAGGTCTGTAATAAAAACAGTAGTTCCTACCCCAGACAAGGCAAATGTTTTGAATGTTTTAGTCCATTTCTTCTAGTATTGAACTTCATGTATATGTTGTGAGCGAGATATGCTATTAACATAGACCAGATACATTTGTGTACTCTTATTTCCACAGCATCATACACCCCATTCTACCCCATACAACTCTTGAACACAGAGTCTTCACTCTGCTCTACACCTGCAACCCTTTTAAATTTTAAAATTTAAAAAAATTGAGACAGAGTCTTGCTAAGTTGCCCAGGGTCTTAATTAAACTTGTGATTTTCCTACCTCCTCTTCAAGACTGTGTTGAATAATAAATTCACAAGCTATTCAGTTTTGTTAGCCATATCTTGCTGAGTACTAGGTTTCACTTGATATTCAATGAGATAAGCAGTTGCAAATTCTTTTATTCCAATCTTAATTAGTAATATCTGTGAAACTGACATCACATATCACACTTCATAAAATGGGATATAGATTATAGAAGACTAAGAGCCCACATAAATGTGAAAACTCACCATAGGTGGCCAGATAAGATTACAGACCAAGTTGAGGTTCCAGGGTTAACATAGGACCTGTTGAGAGGGTAGAGTTGGTTTAGAGCCCACTTTCAAACAGCAGACAGCTTGAGTGGGCTATGTCAGCACAGAGATGGAGTGGAGTTGAGGCCTGGCAGCAGAAAGCCAGTTCCTCACCTGCCAACTTTGTGATTCATCCTGCAGGTGGGCTGATGAGATGATGTGTTGGTGTATGTTGTCCTTGTACCCATGTTGTTGGGTACCCTTTCTTTGGGTCCAAGTGAGGGCATTGTTTGTTGGCCTGGTAGGTTTAATAAGCTCACAGACTTGGTTTTCTCTGATGTGGCCTTGATATGTCATATAGTATCCATATCTCTGATTTAATTTGTTAAGCTTATGGGTAGTAACTTTTATTACCATTAATTTCTTGCTTTGTCCCTTATGATTATGTTGTGCAGTTGAGGATTGTGTTTTTCAGTAAGTTTTGTATGTCCAATACCTGGGGGTTATTTATTTGCACAGATGTGTTACATAGTCGTTTTGCCTCAGCATTGTACTGAACATGGAACTGGTGATTAAATTTTAGAAGTTTTGACTCCAAGCTACCTGTGCAACTTTTGTGTATCTTAGTTTTTGTTAATAAGAAGGAGCAGTAGGAGGGCTTCCTACTGTTTCTGCTTCTCCTACTTCTCTTTTTCCTAGTACTCAAGAGTTATCCATTACTGAGCCACATCCCCAACCCCCCCTTTTCTTTTTCCAGGTGGTGTCTCAGTAGGTAGCCCAGGCTGAGCTTGCACTTGTGATCCCGTCTCAATCTTCTGAGTAACTGAGATTATAGGCATGCACTGTTGTGCCTCGTAGAGATTTTACGTAGGGGTAATATGTTATTTTCTGTTTTCTTAAGAACTGCAGTGAAGAAACAGAATAGGCCCAAAGTACTCTATTCAGCAAGTACTGAAATATGGAAATTTGCATTCTTTTTTGTACTACTACTGTTAGAGTAATGTTGTTTAGACAGCCTTAGATTCTTACAAGGTTTTAGTACCATTCATTCTCTCTCTCTTTTTTTTTTTTTTTTGGTGGAACCAGGGATTGAACACAGGCCCTTGTGCTTGCCAGGGAAGCGCTTATTCCACTGAGCCATCTCCCTGGCCCAGTACCATTCTTTCTTGTAAACTGTTTCTAATGTATAAAAGGCAGGTTTTCCTTCGGATTCATCTAGGTACCCAAGTTTGTGATATGCTTGCCTTGATAAACTCTTTAATTTTCGCTTTTTCTTTTTTTTTTTTTTTTTTTTTGGGCAGAGCCGGGGATTGAACTCAGGCCCTTGAGCTTGCCAGGCAAGTGATTATTCAACTGAGCTATCTCCCCGGCCCCTTCTAATTTTCTCTTGAACTTATCTGTCAAATTGGTGTAACTTGCTGTTGCCTCTAGGTTCCCATCATTACTTCACTATTTTTTGTTTTGCTTATTTAATTTATTTTTGTATTTTAGGGAAGGGTCTACAGAGTGTTCAGGGTCTCACTACTAGATCAGACTCTTAGTGATCTACCTGTTTACCGCCTCCCAAGAGCTGGGATTATCAAGTTTAGTCACACGCTACCATGCCCAGTCTCAATCCCCATTTCAGTGCGCCCCAGGAGCGGGGCCATAATGGCAGGCCGGCAGGCCGGCAGGCCTGGGGATTGAACCCCCAGCCCCTGCGCCTGCTTGCAGGCACTTTAATCTGCTGAGCTGTTTGGCTGGCCCTTGTTTTATTTATTTTTGTAATGTTTTTCTTTATATATCAACCAAATTTGTTGGTTTGAGAAAATTATGTAATGCTATATTAACAAAAACAGCCTTTGGAAATTACGTTTTAGTCTGATAGCTCCATTTTACTCTTTTTTCAGATACATTTTTGTCATCATGGATCGGTTTGGCGATATATCAGATGGTGAAGTGGACCATTCTTTTTTTGATAGTGACTTTGAAGAAGCAAAGAAATGTGAAAATAACTTAGTTTTTAACAAGCAAGATAATGACCCTAAAGAGGGAATGGATAAGGATACAGAAAGCGTGAACTTGGCATTTGGAATACAAACAAAGGAAAATTATCTTACTGACAAGGGAAATGAAAGAAATGTGAAAAATTTTCTAGAGGAATACCCTGTAGAGAATGATATAGAAACCGGAAGTTCTTTATCATTGACCAGTTCAAGATCAAAAGAATTGTGTCGTGCTACAATGGGACATAAAATACACTTGCCCATTCCAAATAGAATTCCCAAAATTATAAAAGAAGGTGAGGATGATTATTACACAGATGGGGAAGAAAGTAGTGATGATGGAAAAAAGTGTCATGTGAGGTCCAAGTCAGCAAAACCATCTCATAACTTTAAAAAAAGCATGAACAAAAAATTTTCGAAACTTAGTTCCTCCTCTTCTTCTTTGTCTTCCTCATCTTCAAGTTTAGGTACAGACTGCTCAGATACAGGACCTGACATCTCTAAATCTCATTCACGTCCATCATCAAGGAAACATACCCTCTTATCACCAAAACCGAAATATAAATCGGGAACAAAATCAGGAACCCAACCTTCAAGTACAAAGGCAAAGATTGCTGACTCTACTGAGGAGTCTGAAGACACTGTGACAGATGTGACTCCTTTATCAACTCCAGACATCAGCCCTGTTCAGTCTTTTGAACTGGGCACATCAAATGACCAAAAAGCAAAAGTTAAAAAACAGGAAAATATGAGTCGAGTATATGAAGATGTTGAGGTTTTAAAAAATGATTCAAAATGCTTGAAAGCAGCCAAGAAAGAGAGGGAAAAGCATGGGTCTAGTCTCACCCCAAAGTCACCAGTATTAGATTCCAGTTCTGACAACAGATGTAAGCAAAAAGTCTTACATGACACAATGGACCTGAATCATCTTTTAAAAGGTAATTTACTTTTCTTTTTTAAATTTGTGTATCTGTAGGTGTGATGGCGCATGCCTATTAGTTCCAGCACTTGGGAGGCTGAGGCATTTGGATCACTGGAAGTTTAAGGCCAGCCTGAACTATATAGCAAGATCTTGTTCATTTTTATTTTTTATTTTTTGGCAGTACTGGGGATTGAACTCATGACCTTGAACTTGCCAGGCAAGCACTTATTCTACTGAGCTATCTCCCCAGCCCACAAGATCTTGTTTAAAAAAATTTTTTTTTGTATATAAAATTCAAATGTTAGTTTATCAAATGCTATGAATTTGCACAGATTTTTCTAGCAGGCACCTTCTGTTGTTTGAGATTACTGATATTATGGTAACTTTGCCAAGTATTCTATAAAAATGTCTAGAATATCATTTGCATTATTAGGTAAAATATTATATTATAAAGCTAATTAGGACTGGAGACTTCACACTTAGTTAGTGCCTTGCAAACAAAATGCTTATCACTCTCTTCCTCCTACGGTGCAATCTTCATTCATAGGCTACTAGAAATACATATAGCAGGTTTGGGTATTTACCTCAGATATGACAGTGTCCAAAGAGAAACTCTTACTTTTGGGATGGAGGAAACTTTTCATAGTACCCCTAGCCAGCTTGCACTTAGTCTCATTGTATAGAATTGGGTTATACTCCATTCCTGAACCAGTCATTGGCAGAGGGAATGAGATTATTCCCAGCCAGTCACGCTCACCCTGGCCTGAGTTAAGGTGGGATTTGGGAGCAGATTCTGTTAAGGAAGAAAGCAGCAGTGTTGGCTAATGGGTAGTTAACTTTGTGCTCTACAGCTTCCTAGACTTTAATATGCATCCAAGTTGTTCTGGCATTTTAAATGTAGATTCTGGCTTAGTAAAACTAGGATAGAGCCCAAACAGCTACATTTCTAACCAGCACTCAGTTGTTAGAAATAATCCTGAAACTGTCCTCTGTACATTATGATGCTAAATTACTTTGTTTCATTTAAAGCAAATATAGGTTTCTCTTAGTACTCCTTTCTAACCAGTTTGTGAAATTTAACTAGATATAGCAAATCTATATATTTTTAAGTCGTAAATGGGAAAAATATTAATCATACCCCAAGTTCATAAGAACAGTTTCTCCAATTATAATAAAATGCTGTGGGAAAATATCAACACAGAGCTGTACTGAAATGTATATGAAAGCTTGCCTCAACTGCAGCGCAGTGGAGAGCTGTGTTCTAAGATGCTCGTCAGTGTGCCCAGGGCTTTGTAAGGCACACAAACAAAGGCAGCGTTGTGCCAGTTCATGCATCTGTCATTGGAATCCTTAATTTGGTGATCTACTAGGGTTTCTTTATAACATTTTAAATAGTAATTCTATCAGTCCACTACATTAAGCTATATCTATATTTTAAGAAATTATTATTCATATTCCATGTGAACCTCGACTCTTTTCAGATCCCAAAATGTTTTCATAATTCTTCTCTTTTCTACCATGTAACAACCATGATGATGGAAGTGATTGCATATCCAGGCTTTTATTTATCACTTTCAACTTCTAATAATTTTCTCTAGGCCCCTATTGACTCATATGTTTTTATAATCCTTTTTATTTACTTGGAAGATAAATCTACTTAATCTTGGGAAGATAGTAATGATAATGTATAACACATTCAAAAATTTTTGCTGACAGTTTGTGATCCTATTAGAGAAAAACTGAGGAAAGCAGGTGTACTGTGCATTCTCTGAATTTAAATATTTTCACTGTTTCACACATAGAGATACATCTAAAAAGTTTATTGATACTAGTAATAAATTTTGAGTGAGTAAAAATTTCCCAAGTTTTACAGTGAATATTAGGCAAGAATTCACATAGTGAAAGAGGCCTACATAGTTAACACACTTACTGGTTTAAAAGAACTTTTTTTGTTGTTGTTGTTGTTGGTTTTTTTTTTTTTTTTTTTTGCGGAACTGGGAATTGAACTCAGATCCTTGTGTTTGCCAGTCAAGCACTTATTCTACTGAGCCATCTCCCCGGCCCCTAAAAGAACTTTTGGGCCGGGGAGATAGCTCAATAGAATAAGCACTTGCCTGGCAAGTGCAGGGTCCTGAGTTCAATACCTGCTACCACAAAAAAGGAGGGAGGGGCTTTTGTTGTTTATTAAATACAAATTTGAACTGTAAGATATTAAGCATGTGAAACAGTAAAAGAATATAAAATGAAATATGCCAATACAGACCATGGAATAGTTAAATAGTGATGCATTGGATACATAAGAAGATGGAGAAAATTCTAGAAATGTAGTAAAAAAAATATTAGGCTTTTGGGATTTACCTACCTACCTGACTATAAGCAACTTAGTAACCGATTTTTTAATTTGTGGATGAAATAGTTGATGTTTATTGCTCAAGCCTATTCCAAATTCAGAGTTCTGGGGTTCTGTGAGGACTGTTAAAAAGGAATTGTTTATTAGTATTATTGGATGCATGATTTTAAAGTAGACCTTGAGATACAGTAAAACTTCTAAACATTCCTCCTCTTATTTGGGAGGCTGATTTGGGGAACTTCCCATGCCTACTCCAAATCTGTCTTTCTTTGATATGTAAGTGTTAAGATTGAGCTTGGAGTTAGATCTTTAACCTTGAGCTATATAAATCCTTGAATAGACAAAGGACCTTAAAATCTGGAGGAGAGCCAACCCTGGTGGCATATGCCTGTAATCCCAGTACCCTGGGATATAAAAGAAAGAAATGGGGGCCAGCGAGATAGCTTAGTGGTCTAAAGCACCTGCTTCGGCAAGTGCACAGAGACCAGGGTTCGATCTCTGGAACCACATGCCAGAAAAAAAAAAAAAGAAAAAGGAAGAAAACTGAAGAAGTCCTGATGAGCAGAGGAGCTGATTACATTTTTTACTCAGGTGATACCAGCAGGGGAGGGAGTGAAGTGACATGACTTGTGCAGGGGAAAAACACAGAGCCTGTTAGACCCTGGAAGGAAGGGGGTTTTGTTAGGCATCATGTAGCACATTTCTGTAGTGCCTACACTGTGGGGGGCTGAGGCAGGAGAATTGCATGTTCAAGTCCAGCCTGGGTAATTGAGCAATTTAATGACACTATGTCTCAAATTTTTAAAAATTTTAAAAAGGGCTGGGGATGTAGCTTCATGTGAAAACCCTGGGTGCAATCCTTAGGGAAAGAAAAGGGATGCCTGTCCTGAAATTAGCTACTAGCAATCCTAACCTAGCACTACAACATACTTCCAAACACTTAAGCTAGAATCAGCAGAGGCCTTACTGTCACAATAAAGCATGTAAATTTTGAAACTATTGCAGGACCAAATTCAGTGATTTTAGAAGGGATCCATAGAGACAAAACTCTTCACTAAACGCACTAAGCACGGCTTGCTTTGTTCTCCTGATACAAGTGGTGTCTATCAGGAGTGACCTGACAATGACGGCGCAGTAGTATAAGAGAAGCTGTGAAAATCCACTGGTCTTCTCTTAAACCACCAATTTAAACAATTTGTAAAACTGTTACATTTTGCCACTCATTAATATTTTTATTTGTTTCCCTTTTTTTAAATTTAATTTTTTTTTTTTTTTAGTTTTATTTGTGTGTGTGTGTGTGGCCAGCTCAGCCCACCAGGGGGCGGGGCTGGCTGGCATGTGGTGCTGGGGGATTGAACCGCGGTCCCTGTGCTTTGCTAAGCTTGTTGTAAGTAGGTGCTTTAGACCACTGAGCCATCTCCCCAGCCCCTCCTTTTTTTTTGGTCGGGGGAGGGATACCAGACATCAAACTAAGGACCTCAAACTTACTAGGCAGGTGCTATATCACTGAGCTATATCCCTGGCCCAATGCTTTTGTTTCTTTTTTTTTCTTTTTTTTTTTGGCAGAACCGGGGATTGAACTCAGGCCCTTGCGCTTGCCAGGGAAGCGCTTATTCCACTGAGCCATCTCCCCGGCCCCCCAATGCTTTTGTTTCTTATAAAATTTTTATGTTAAAATGTACTTGGTATGTTGTAGAAGAATGAATAAAAATCTTTAAAGTGCTTCACTTTTAATTTATAATATGGTACATATGTGACCTGCATAATCATTCTTTCAGATCTTTTAAGATTCTCAACCTGTAGAAGTAATTGAAGAATCTTGAGGCCAGAAAATTTAAGAAATTTTAGAAGAATGGAACTAGAATATGTGATTGTAGTATATAAAGTGCTTTACAACTGTAGAGAATATTTTAGGGAAAAAGTTTATTGTTTAATTTAGTAAATCTTCCAAAACAAGAATAAAATAATAAGCACTTGTTGCCTAGCAAGTGCAAGGTCCTGAGTTCAATCCCTGGTACCGCAAAAAAAGAAAAGAAAAAGAAAAAACATTTTAAAAATAAGAAAAAAGTAACAGGAAAACAGTTTTTTTCTGAAACAAAAGCAACACAGTCAAACACACACAAAAAAACATAAAATTGAGGGTCCAAATAACAATGGTTTAAACTTATTAGCATCATTGTATTGAGAATAAAATCAGGAATACTGTTTATCTTTAAAAATGTACCTCCAAGAAATTATGCTAAGTGAAATAAGCTAATCTCGAAAAAGACAAATACTCTATAATTCCACTTGTATAAGGTACTGAGGAAATTCCTGTTAATGAAACAGAAAATAGAATTATGATTCCCAGGGCTTAGGGAAAGAGGAGATGGGGCTTCTCCCCTTTCATTAGGTAGAATGTTGTAGCTTTCCAGGGCACAGTTTCGGAGATGGATGGTATTGATGATTGCACAACATTATGAAAGTATATTTTAGTTCTGAACTGTACAGTTAAAGGTAAGAGGTAAATTTCATCTTGCATTTTACCATAGTAAAAAGAAATTGAAAACAAATAGTGGCTTTGATAAGGCTTCTGTTTTGCTAACCATAGGTGTTCAGATACCAAAAGAATTGTGAAAGAGCAAAATGAAAATCCAACGTAAAACAACCTTTAAAATAGTATAGAAGAAAGAGCCGACCAGATTGCTCAGCAGACTAAAGCGCCTGTTTAGGCAGAGCGCAGCGTCCAGGGTTCAATCCCCAGTGTACTGTGCTGTCTCTGCCTCCAGGGTGCGCTGAGAGGTCCCTAGAGACTGGGTATGGAAAATGGAAATCTGAAGGGTACAATAGCTACTGGGAAAAGAGAATGAACTTTTGTACTCTTTAAAAAATTAAAAAAAAAAAATTAAAGGCAGGCCAAATAGCTCAGTGCAGGTGCAGGGGCTGTGGGTTCAATCCCTGGGCCTGCAGAGCCAGGTCTGCCCCCCTGGCGCACTAAGATGGCAATTGAGACTGGGCGTGGTAACGCGTGCCCATAATCCCAGCTCTTGGAAGGCTATAAACAGGCAGATCACTATGAGTCTGATCTAGTAGTGAGACCCTGAACACCCTGTAGACCCTTCCCTAAAATAAAAAAAAAGAAAAAAAGCAGCATTGTAGGGACTGGGAAGATGGCTCAGTGGAATAAGCACTTCCTTGGCAAGCGCAAGGGCCTGAGTTCAATCCCCGGTTCTGCCAAAAAAATAAATATAAACTTAAAAAAAATTTTAAAGGAAAAAATGGAAATATCAATCCTATTGGGATATAAAATAGAATTTAGGATATGAAAAGTCCTAAAAGAAATACAACAAGGATGTTTTTGTTAGTAAATGAGCCAAATATACCAAAAATGTATGTTAACAATCATTGATTTTGAACTTATCATGAAAGCAAACAGAAATAGAAGTAAAATTAATGAAGGCTTAACCACCAAGGAAGATTAATAATCAGATAAAAAAGCAGAAAAACTGTTAACTCTACTTATTGGCTATCCTTATCCCACAAGTATTCTTTTTGTCACAATGTTTTTTTTTTTTTTTCTTCCCTCTCTTCTCCTTCTGCTACCTCTTTCTCTCCTCTTCCTCCTCCTCCTCTTCCTCTTCCTTCTCCTTTCTTTGTGGCACTAGGGGTTCAATCCAGGACCTTATGTATTCTGGGCAAACACTACCACCAAGCTACATCCCAAGCTGTCTTTACCTTCCAATCACTAGACACAGTACTCAATGCCTACAACTTAAAGGAGAGATTCATTTTGGCTCATGGTTTTTAGAGCATTCACTCCATAATCAGATGGCTCCAAGGCAGGAAAGGGCATTGTAAAAGGGTCTAGCGGAGAAAAACTGCTCACATGGTGGTCTGGAAGCAGAAAACAAAGGGAAGAGCTGGGAAGGGAGATCTGCACTTCCAGCCCCCCCCCCCCCCAACAGGCTTGTAGGAGACATTCTAGATTTAAACTGTAACACAAGCTCCTGTTACAATGTTTATTTAAAAAGTGATAAAATAGTTACCCTTTCTGAATAACAATTTCTTTTTTTTTTTTTTTTTTTGGTGGAACCAGGGATTGAACTCAGGCCCTTGCCCTTTCTGAATAACAAATGATACGGTCACTTAAAAGATTCAGAAGTAGGGGTGACTCAATGACCTGAGATGAATCACTTGAATGCTTGTTTATTCACATGTCAGGTTCCTGGGTTACTCGTCCCGCGAGTCGAGACGTGGGGTGATTACCTGGAGGAGGAATGGGGATGAACAACACAGAGCAAGAGACACAAGAGACGGAGCGGGGTCTAAATAGCCGCGCAGCAGAAATAGTTGGGCGGGACTGGCTGCTAATTGGTAGCAGATGTCTGGGACCACAGGAAGACGCCAAGGCAAGCAGGGATTGGTGCTGCTGCATTTCTTGCCCAAATAAGGGAAAGTGTAAGAGGAGCCTTCCATCGCCCCCCCACACCTGGGATTAGGACAGTGGAAGACAAGGACTACCAACCAGAAAGCCCACACATGGTCTCCCTCAACATGTGGCCTGGCCTCATCACATGTGGCCTGGCTTCCTCAATATGGGAGTTTCAGAGTTGGATTATTTTACATAGTAACTCAAGGTTCCAAGCGTAAGTGTTCCAGGAAACAATACAGAAATCTCATTACCTTTTATGACCTAGCCTTTGAAGTCATGTAGCATCATTTCTTACACACTGTTGGTTGAAATACTCTCAGCTTAGAAGGGAGAGACATAGATCCTACTTCTTAATGGAGGAATTAATTTATGGACATCTTAATATCTCTTCAATCCTATTTCTGTCCTTATAATTACTTATGCTCCTTTCATATGTAAAACTGTATTCCCCCTTTTCCAAAGATGCTACCATCCTTGAGATTCAGGACTTAAATCAGGTCTAGCTGAGATTCCCCAGGTGTGATTTTTCAGGTACAGTTCTTTGAGTGTTTTTGAGATCTGCTGGGAGGAGTCCCAGCTTTTTTGTGTTCCTTGTAAATCTTGTTTGAAAACTGATCAATTTTTTTTTAACTCTATCCTTTATCCTATCAATTTATTGTTGATAAAATTAATACTTTCAGGCTGGGCATGGTGGCACACACCTGTAAACCTAGAACTTGGGAAGCTGAGGCAGGAGGATCCCCATAAGTTCAAGGCTAGCCTGGGCTACTACAGAGTTCAAAGCTAGCCTGACTTGGCTGACCTTATCAGATACAAAAGCTACATTTCTTGGTATATAGGTCTTGCTATATCTTGGTCTTAACCATCCAGCAGAAAAGTATAAAAACGAGGTATATAAAGTAAATCCATATTAATACGATGAGCCGTAAAAGGCTCAAGTCAATAACTTCTGAGGATAACCCACTAATATTATAGACTGCTAGACACTGTTAGATTGTTTAGTTGAATTCAAACACCTATAGTATTTAGATGCCAATAGAATATTCACCTCTGACAGGACAAAAAAAAATTAAAATAAAAAAGATACAAAACAATGTTGCTAAACAGACTGCCACTTTATCCCCTCACACTTCAACAGACAGAAGTTCTGGGTTCTTCAGCAGCACTTGCCACCACGCCTTCAAGCAAGTGCCTTATATTTGAGGTTTTTTCAGTAGCACTCAACTTTTTGGCACCAGATGTTTTAGTTACAATTGCTCTGTTACTGCCAACAGACGTGCATAAAGCAACCCTTCGGATGACTCAAAGACTAGAATCAAAGTGCCTGTGCTTGGCCTCTTTGTATGACTTGGCTTCTTAGTAGTGTGGCAACCTCCTGGTAATCAAACCTGAATGCTGGGTTTGGGCTCCAAGCAGCAGTTTTACAGCAAACAAGTTGGGGAGGGGTTCATTATTACATAGCTATGAAAGTCACATATCATTTTGGCTGTACCTTACAGCTACAAGCCTGCCTACCCAAATTCAAAAGAAGGAAACGGCAAGAATGACACAGAATTACTCATCTAGCAAGTTGTTAATAAAGAAGGCAAAGAAATTTGGTACATTTAGTTATTCATTTGAATTATGACCTTTGATACAAATGTTCGGTTTTTTTAATCTTGAAAAATATCAATTTACAAAGCACATGCCATTGTTATTTCTTAAGTGTAATGAATATGGCTTTAAGATGAATTTTTAAAAAATAACTGATACTAAGACTTACAGTTACTTGGGGCAAAATGTCCAGTGGTAGCATCACACATAATTTTTAAAATATTATATCTTATCTTAGGTGAAAGTAAAGCTAATATTGTATTAAATCATGTCAAATCATTCATGAAGTGGCTTTAACAAAGTAGACAACTATGAAGAGTTCAGCAGTTTCACTGAGGATAATTAGAGACAAGCAGTATTTCTAGATGTATAAACTTAAATATATGAATATAAATACATCTGTATCCCTAAAAGTTTATTCAAGTTACACTATTTCCCCCCCTCCTCCACCAGACACCATTTTTTACATTATCTTTGTTGGAAGAAAACATGGGTCATACATTTGTGATTGCCAATTACACATACAAAGTGTATAGCATTGTACTAAAGCACATTGTAAACCACATAGCCACTTTAAAAAATGTAGTGATAGTAATAGTTACTTGCTATCAGCATGTAAGCATTCCATATATATTTATTTTTCAATCTTGAGAAGTAGAATGCTGGGCTTTTGTTTGGTTTTAGCTGAATTAGATTAACTAACTTTTAAAAAAGAATTTACTGCTCTATTTTACTTTTAAAACTTTAAAAATGTCTTTAGAAAAACATAGCTCAATTTTCTTTAGAATTACATTTTAGAGTTTCCATTTAGGTAAATTATGCTAGAGCCCTTATTCTATAAAATAGGTATCTCCTAGAAGCAAGATAATTCCATACATATAGCACATCTGTATCTTTCTAGATGTATTCCATTGGGATTTTTGTCATTAAATTTGTATGGTTTTCAGCAGTTACCAATTATTAATTTAATTTTTCCTATCTGAAAGCCAATGTGTGTGTATGTTGTAATTTCTGTAATCTTAAATAGTTTTGGGATTAAATGTAAGGAGGTCAAATTTCTCTTTCTGTTATCTTTTCAAGATGATTTAGGTTTTATGCACTTTTATTTATTTATTTTTGTATTTTAGGGAGGGGTCTACAGGGTGTTCAGGGTCTCACACTAGATTGGACTCTTAGTGATCCACTTGTATACAGCTCCCAAGAGCTGGGATTACAGGTGCGCCACCATTCCCAGTCTCAGTAGCTGTGCCAGTGCATCCCGGAGGCGGGGCTGGTATGGTAGGCCCGGGGATCAAACCCCAGTCCCTGTGCCTGCTTGCAGGTGCTTTAATCCGCTGAGCTGTTTGGCTGGCCCTCACTTTTCTTATTTTTAATTGTGGTTTAAAAATAACTATTCACTTTATAGTACCATGCTTTATCAGCATGAAATGGCAAGTATATAAAATAATAATAATCAAAGGAAGCGGGGAGGTGATACATGCCCATAATTCCAGCACAATGGGAGACTAAGGTGAGAAGATTGCAGGTTTGATCCAGCACCAGCAATTTAGCAAATCCCTGTCATAATTAGAAATAAAAAGGGCTAAGGATATAGATAAATTTGAAGGTCCTGGGTTCAGTCTCCAAATACCACCTTGAGGGGCAGGGATAGGGATGGGAGGCAAGGATAGTTAGGGAAAGATAATCGTTACTTTAAAAACTATTGTATAAAAAAGACCAAAACAAAATCAATATGCCTTTCTGTTAATCTGATAAAAAGTATTCCTGTTTTGGTACATATTGAACTGGAAACATTCAGCAAGTTCTGTGTTTTTAGAGGCTTTTCACAAGTGTTTAATAATTGTGCACAGTGAAACTCAAGAATTTAAGCATTTTGATAAATATTCATTTGATAGTCATAGTATGCAAGCCTTTTCTTGGTTAGAAACATTTTTACATAATGTATTTATGTTATATGTAAGAAAAAAATGGTGGGCTGGAGATACAGCAAGCATAAGGTCCTGAGTCCCATTCCAAAAAATTAAAATTAAAAAAGAGAAAATGTTTGGTTTTGCAGTAGAAATATTTGTATTAATGACAATACTAAGATCCTTAAATCTTGTATATTTTAAAGTTGATAGTTTCAACATATTTGGAGCTTATTTGCTATTGTTTCCCTCAGTCATTGCTGAGATTTTATTTCACTTCATTTTTTTACTTTCGGAGAAGGATTTTTTTTTTTTTTTTTTTTTCTGTCTCAGGCTGCCTTAAAGGCAGGTCTGGTGAGGCAGGTGGAGCTGGGGATTGAACCACGGTCCCCTGCTCCTGACTGAGTTTGTGTGAGCAGGCACTTAAACAACTGAGCTAACCCACCAGCCCCCCTTATTTTACTTTTGGAGTGTGCCTTTCAACTAACAAAAACTGTCTAAATTATTATACTAACAACCCAGAAGTTTCTGAACTCAACTACCATAAAGAATTGTAAAATAGACATGACAAATCATTTTCCATAAATTATACCTGTGTAAGAAGTATACTACCCCATCCATACCTTTATTATCTCAGCTGTTTTTTTTTTTTGTTGTTTTTTTTTTGTTTTTCTCCTTGCTATTTTTGTGCCCAAAGAGCCCAGTAAGGTAAAACCCTAGGCTATATCTGGGGTTTTTCCCTATGTAATTGCAGTCTGAAAGTCACCAGCATTGTTTCATACATACTTTTTCATGAATTAGCATAGTTTGTATTTTTAAGGATTAAATCCTGTTACCATTAGAGTTACTGTTTAGCTGTTTTCACTTTTTGTTGTTCTGTAGCTTTCCTACAGTTAGATAAAAAGGAGCCTCAAAAACATCACTTTGATCAGCCTTCAGCATTACCTAGGAAAAACTACTCTTTCACAAGAGAAGAGGTGAGACAGATTGATCGGGAAAATCAGAGGCTTTTGAAAGAACTCTCGAGACAGGCTGAAAAACCAGGAAACAAAAGTGCAGTGCCCAGCAGATCAAGTGGCCATCCCCCTAAGTTGTATCACAGTGCTCTCAATAGACAGAGGGAGCAACAAAGGATTGAAAGAGAAAATTTGGTAAGTAACCATCTATCAAAGAAAATGCATTTGTACTGGTTGGTAAATGCAACATACAGGGAGCCTAAATACAGCTGAATTTTCTAACGGAGTTACACAAAGGCATATAGTAGAGATGTATTGAGGAAATATATAATGAGCAGTGGATCTTGAAAATGCAGTATATGTCATTTATCTGGCAAACTCTATTGAAGGACCAGGAAAGGAAAGTAATAAAAGCCCTGTTATTTATTTGACTAGATCTGTGAAATTGCTATGTTAGTATAGGAATGGGATCCAAGAATCACATGCAGTGTATCTTCTGAGAAGTAGTCTCTGGCTAAATCTGTGTTACTTCATTGTATTCAGGAAAGCTAAAACAAATTACATATATCATTTGTTTTAAAGGATAAACACGTCTTACAAAGGTTAAATATAGTAGTCTACTTGAATGTGTGAAACATTTTAAATATAATTACACTTTGATGCTGTAAAAGAATATGTAAGGACTGTTGAAAGTATTCACGTTAATACTATTATGATAGCATATGCTTGTCTTGATAATATTTGGTGCGTAATTGCTAATATTCCTTGAGCTGTCATTGAACAATAGGCATTTTTCTAAGTATCTTCTAAATAATTAGCTTATTAAATCCCATTAGTTGTTTGAGTTATGTTTTTAATCTACACCCTGAGATGTACTTCTACAGAGCTAGTAATTAAGTGGCTGAGCCAATATCCTAAACCCAGGAAGTCTCTTAAATTGAATAACTTAAACTAAAATTAGACCTTTAATGAACTTGTAAATTCATAGCTAAAGTAATGTTTAAGGCTGTTAAATTTACTCTCTCCAAAATAAACCCTTATTATGTGTCATCACAGTATGCATATCTTTACTAACCCCCCAAAACTAGTTTTGGCCCCTTCAAAAAAGTTACCCTGCATGTGTCAAAGAATAAATAGCAATAAAGTAAGTTGAAATGAGTTTGGTAGGTGATGAGGTACATAATATCCTCTGCATGTCATATTAATGATATTCATGTTTCATGTTTTATAGAAATATTGTATGTCACAGACATTTACATTTACTTTATATTCATTTTCACCTAACTGCAGCCTTTTGTATTTAATAAATGATTATACAATACCTTAATTCTCATAGAAATCTTAAGACCTATGGTTTTATGGAAAAAAGGAGACACTGAGTGAATACAGGGAATTGCTGAAGGCCGAAGGGCCAGCAGCTATCAGGTCCAGATTCAAGTCCAGGTTATCTGTCTTGTGTAACTTTTTAAAAACAATACTATTGAGATGTAATTCAAATTACCATGCCAGGGCCGGCCAAATAGCTCACTGGATGAAAGCGCCTGCAAGCAGGCACAGGGGCCCAGGTTGGATCCTGGTGCCTGCCGGCTTTCCATGTTGGCTCTGCCCCCGGGGCTCCCTGAGAAGGCAGTTGAGACTGGGTGTGGTGGCGTGCGCCTGTAATTCCAGCTTTTGGGAGGCTGTAAATAGGCAGATTGCTGCAAGTCTGATCTAGTAGTGAGACCCTAAACACCCTGTAGACCCTTCCCTAAAATACAAAAATAAAATAAAAATCAAATTACCATACCAATTTTGAGTGCACAATTCATAGTTTTGGAACTTACTTTTGAAATTGTAAAATATATGTAAAAAGTTACCATTTTAACTTTTCTAAGTGTACAGTTCAGTAGCATTAAATCCAAAAACAGTGTTTCTAAACACCACCACTGGGGCCGGGGAGATGGCTCAGTAGAATAAGCATTTGCCTGGCAAGCGCAAGGGCCTGAGTTCAATGGCCAGTTCTGCAAAATAAATTAAATAAATAAATAAACACTACCACTATCATTTCTAGAATTTTCTTATTGCTCCATACAAAAACTCTGTAACTCTAATCTCTGTGAATTTGGCTTTTTGGGAAAAGGGATTATACCCAGCTAGGCCTTTGTGCTGAGTTACGTCTTCAACCCTTTTAGTTTTTTACTTTGGGACAAGTTGTCCAGGTAGTACTCTGACTTGTTTTTTTGCCTTAGACCTTCTCAGTGCTGGAATTACAATTATTAGCTAACATAGCCAGCTTTGAATTTGGCTATTTGAAATATAGATAGAATATATTAAATACAGGCGGGATATACTATTTTAAATATAAGTAAGATCATACATTTGTCCTTTAGTGTCTGGTTTTAATGCTTTCAAGATTCATCAGTGCTATATACCATGTTCCATTAAAAGGAACTTTCTTGCTTTTAATGGCTGAATAACATCTCGTTGAGGATAAATACCACATTCTGATGTGTTCCATTTGTTAATGGACACCAGTGGTTCTACCACTTGGCTATTGTGACTAATGCTACAGTGAAGAGGAACTCAAAATTATGTATTCACATCCCTGCTTTCAGTTTCCTTGGGTATATACATATGAATGGAATTGCTAGGTCATACGATAATATTCTATATTTAGCTTTTTAAAAAGCATGGGCTTGCTTTTGAAAAGTGAAGGTATTACCATCTAGTGGCTTTTCTGAATATGTATAGGGTAAAAACTGGAAACTGTTAACAGCTTCTGCTTACTGGAAAATTACCAGCATTTTATTCTTGTTAACTTTGCGTGTTTTGTAATTTATGGGAACAACTTTTTTGTGTTGTTGTTTTGGTGATGGTACAGGAGATTGAACCAAGAGCTTTCACACACTTAGTTACATGAGCAGCCTTCTCTTCTTTTCTCCCCTCCCCTCCCCTCCCCTCCCCTCCTTTCATATTGAAACAGGGTCTTGCTAAGTTTCCAAGGCTGCACTAGGACCTGTGATCCCCCTGCCTCAGCCTGCCAGAGTTTTAGGATTATAGGAGTGTTCCACCATGCCTGGCTTACATGTAAACAATATTCTTCTCAGTAAACAGTATTTGTTATACTATAAAGAGTAGAAACATAACATGAGTCATTGTATAATTTAAAATTTTCTAATGATAACATTTAAAGTCAAAACCGGTAAATTTTTAAAGTATTTAATAGAATATATCCAGAATACTACCATTTCAGTGTTTAATCCTGATTAACATAAACTGCTAGTGGTAAGAGGTATTTTCCTTGGGTACAAAGTCTTTGATATTTGTGCATTTTATACTTAAAACATATCTGAGTTTGATGTTAGCTACATTTCAACTGCTCTGTGACCTCACGTAGCTGTTATCTTTGGATTGTGCAGCTCTGGAATCAAAAAGTAACTCACACAAAGGTGAAAAACATAAGGAGTAACTTAGACCCAACAATTTATTATAAAACTACATTTATTATGTTACTGTGAGGAATACTAATCATCCAGATGGTTTATCTCTTCAATCTTAAACCAAAATAAAGCTAAGCTGATACCATCTCAGAACCTTTCATGGCTGTTCTTTGGCACTTATTCCTCAGAATAAATAGTTTTTCTTCTTGAAAACATTGTGCCAGGCACACTGACACACAGCTAAAATCCCAACTACTTAAGAAATTGAGGCAGGAAGATACTAAATTTGAGGCTAAGCTAGACAATTTAGCAAGACCTCATCTCAAAATAAAAAGGGCTGGGAATATAACTCAGTGGTAGAGCATCTCGTAGCCTATGTGAGGTCCTAGGTTCAATCCCCAGTACCATTTTAAAAAGCAAATTTTAGCTGAAATTTTATAAAAGTACATTTTAATTAGAGAACATGTTATACTCCTGTCTAAAATAAGCTCTACTTATTTGAGCTCTTTTATAAGCTACCTTGATAAGGTTTTGTAGTTTTCTAAAAAACTATTTCTTGTTTCATTTTCTGTTTAAACTACTTGTTTTTATGTATTTATTTTATAACCTGCCACCTATCAAAGTTAGAGAGGTACATTGGCTTTAATAGTTTTCCAGTGTGAGACACATACTTTTATATCTATTCATAGGCTGTTTGCATTCAAAACACACGTATATATGTACCCACATGCATATTTCTGTAGTTGTTTCTTACGAAGTGTGTCCACAGACAGGGTCCAGTACTCTGCATTTTGTGATTTGTATTCTTTCTTGTGCTGCATCTCAAGTGACAGAAACAAGTCCAGGTGTCCATGAGGAATGATTTATTAAAACATTTCTGTTCCAGAATTCTTACATTAGCAGCCAGCAATTCAGAAGCTACTTGCATGGAAATAATCATGATACTGAAGTAGTGCTATAAGAGGGAACAAAAGATACGATGTAACATGGAGCTGTGTGCACTAGATGCAAAAGCATACTACTGACTGCCATTCTGGTAGTTTGAGATCCTCAACATTTGTTTCAGTAGGGAGATTACTTACATTTAGACATTGCATGTAATGAAAACTTAAGGGAATGTAGAGCACACCTAAGCACACACAAGGTATGTGACAGGTTGGAAAGAGAAATAATAAAGAAAAGGCAGGTTTGTCCACTAGAGGGCATGCTTACTGCTTGTGCACTGTTCTGTTACAAGTTTCTTTCCAAAAAAGTGGCGATTGTTTTAAACTCATGAGTTTTGAAATATTCTTGTTGAACCAAACCTCCTTATCTGCATTTGAATGTAATGAATCTAATTTTTCTAAAATGAGACAATAATAATCTTAGGAGAAAAAGAGGTGGTTAGTAAGCACACTGAGTTTGCCTTACCCTCTTAAAATTGAGATTATTTTCACAGTGTCACTTTACCCTCTTAAAAATAAGATCAAAAAAAAAAAATTATTCCAGTTTTTAAAAATGTCTCTCATCTTCCTCAGATATGAGAAAAAGGAGAAAGTGGAAAGTAAGGGAGGCAAGGTTAGAGATAAGTAAGATTGTTTTTCTTTCTTTTTTTTTTTTTTTTTTTTTTTTTTTCTTTGAGACAGTGTCTTTTTGAGAACTGTGCAGTTCAGGCTGTCTTTGAACTTACTTTGTAGCCCAGACTGTCTCAGCATTGCAACAGTCCTCCTGCCTCAGCCTCCCAAGTGCTGGGATTACAGGAATGTGCCACCACTCCTAGCTAAAACTAAGGTTCTTGCAGTAACGTATCAGGATTAAAGCCTAGAGCACAAATAGACTTGACTTCAAATTTTTTTTCTTTAGCTTTCTAAGAACTGCCTATATACATAAAAGTCATTAGTTTTAAATCCATAGGCATTCCACTTACACATTCCTCTTTTTAAAATATTATTGTAAAAATAAAACTAATATATGAGAGGATATATATCTTTAAAAAAACTAAATAAAAACAAAACCCTTCTGTTCTTTGTTGGGCTATAACCTTGATAATTTAGTTTTATATAGTCAAAGATGAAAATGTTTAGCAAATCATACCTAGCATTATAAATATTAATTTGTCCAAGTACATTTATCCTAAGTTTATGATATAATATGCGGCTCACATAGCATGATTTTCCTTGTGCTCTGCTTATCATCTGTTATCTCCCTCCATAACATAAAGGTAAGTAACTCAGCATGATTCCAGCCTTTGAAAAATGTGAAGAGCAGTTATCTTGATTTTTTTTTCCCCAAGTTTTGAACACTTGTTATTTTTTAAGAAGGTCTCCTTATACAAGGTCTTTGCTTTTATCACTTTGAAAACATTAAGGCTCATAGTTGGAGAAATTGGTGGCAGTATTTGTTCATTCATTTGCTTAAATCTTTCTGCATCAGAAGATGAGCAGGATTCAAGCTAGGTTAATTTTCTCTACAAAAGGAATTATGCTTGATACATTGTGCCAATTTGAGCAGTCTAGAAGTTTAACTTAGCATATACATGGTAGAGTGTAGAGGACTGCTCTTAGTGCTCTGTGATGTTCCTTTTGTCAGCTTGAGGACTGCATTAGTTTAAGAGACTCAGCAGGGGCTCAGGGTCCTCACTTTGTAAACATCCTGCGCCTGTGCAAGAGGAGGGCGAGGGCATGGAGATGGTGTGAGTGCCGCACCCGGCTGGGTTTGGTAGCCTGCTTACACTATAAGGGAGGCTTGTTCTCCCCCTTTTTTGCTCTTGCTGTTTTTGCTGCCTTCTGCTGCCCCTCTTTCATGCCACCCTGCTTTGGAACCCTCTTGAATATGGACTTAAACCTCCACAAACTGAGCTAAATACACCTTTCTTCCTTCAAATGTAGATGTTGAGTATTTTCTCTCAGCAACAAGAGAAAAGTAAGAAATTAGATATAAAAAAGTATTTGGGCAGGTATCTAAAAGTTTATTTCATTTATCATTATTTGATTTTGTGAGATCTTAGTATGTAGTTCAGTCTAGCTTTGGACTTGAGGCGGTCTTTCTCCCTCAACCTTCTGAATGCTGGTATTACTATAATCACCAACCTGTTCTCTAGAGCTCTTGAACTTATTCATATCTTACAATTGGAACTACTTTGTACCTTGTTTTATCGAAATTTGCTTAAAAGGTAGATCTTAAGTGTTTTGCACACAAAAAATGGCTGTGACATGACATAGATGTTGACTAGCTTGGTGTTATTTGTCAATCATATCGACAAATGTGTGTGTATATCAGACATATAGAGGATAAACACCAAGTGGTTTACCTTAAATATATATATATATATATATATATAATCTCAAAACTACAATTTCCCCAGAAGTAAGTTGGACAACTATTTTGGGTGAATGTCAATTATGACATCCTATTGAATTATTCAGCATATTTTTGCTCTTCCTTTCCATTTTTTAGCATGATTGACAAATGAGATCGTATATTTAAGATGTACAACATGTTAAGAAACATATACATTGTGAACTAATTAACATCTATTATCTTGTAGACTTATAGCAATTCTTAATTTCATCTTCTTAGTAACATTTTATAATAGCCCAGTAAAAATACTCTTGAACAGAAAGAATAATGTGATCATCTCACTCCCAGAGACAGATTGAAAGTTATATTGGTACCCTGTTGGTTCACACATTTAATTATTTCCAAAATTCTGATCACAACTGAATGGGATGAAAACTGAATCAAATTCAGTGGTTGAAGTTTAATGTTGCCTTATGGGGAAATTTGGATTGGTTCTGCTCCAATTCAGTTTGCTACCAGAATTGCGGAAAGAATCAAGTTTGTGAACCAGTGTACCACGGTACAGGAACACAATTCTAGTTGATTTCCCAGTATCTCTCTATATAAATGCATTTTTAATAAAAAAAAAAAAAGGACAGCGTGATGTGTATTGTTTCATAACCTGCTGTTTTACTTAAGGGAGTATAAGGACAATTTTTGAAATTATTAGAATCTGAGCTGACTGCCAGTTCTAAAATTTTATACAGCATAAATTAGAATATAAGTAACCATTCTTACATTTTCTCAATTCATTACATATTGTCTGCAATTAGCTGTGTAAAAGTTTGTAAGAATAAAAGAAATGTATAAATACAGTCCTGTCTTATAATCTGTAGCTTTGCCAGGAGGATAAAATTATTGTGTGTCACACAACTAGAAAAAAAAAAAAAGCAACAGTAATACTAGTATTAATATTTAATAAGTTCTTACTAGATGTCAGACAATGTTATAAGCATTTAATATATGTTATTTGCTTATTAAAAACCTGACTCTGAGGCTATTTCTTTTTTTTTTTTTTAAGGCCACAACATCTTATTTATTTATTTATTTATGTATGTATGTATTTTGTGTGTGTGTGGCCAGTTCAGCCCACCAGGGGGCGGGGCTGGCTGGCATGTGGTGCTGGGGATTGAACCGCAGTCCCTGTGCTTTGCTTAGCTTAGTTTGTTCTAAGTAGGTGCTTTAGACCACTGAGCCATCTCACCAGCCCTCTGAGGCTATTTCATTGCTAATACTTTATCAAGTATTTGACTCTGGCAGAACCTGGATATAAACTCTGATCTTTCTTTTGATTATAGTAATTACACATATTTATAGTTTGACAAAGGGGTATATAGAAGTTAGTACATGTATTCAGTCTCTAAAGATTAAATCAGGATATCTAGCATTTCTGTTGCCTTGAACATTTATCATTGTATTATTTTGGGAAACTTGAAACTCCTTTCCTTCAGGTTTTTTGGTTTTGTTTTTGTTTTTTTGGTGGAACCAAGGATTGAACTCAGGCCCTTGTACTTGCAAGGCTAGTGCTTATTCAACTGAGTTATCTCGCCAGCCCCTTTTTCCTGAAGTTTTATAAAAGACAATCATTCTATTGTGCTGTCCAGAAGTAGGGCATACTCCTTGTACCCAGACAGACACATGGTATAGCTCCAAATGATTTTTGTAGTTGAGTTGAATCATTTTTATTTCCCCAAAGTTACTGTATAATTGATATATCAGACTACAAAACAGTTTTACTTTGTGTTTTATTGACAAATTTCAAAATTGATTTTGATTATATTTCTTTATACTGTGTTTTCACCTGATGAATAAGCATTGTAGTTTTCTTAAAATTAAAAAATAAGGCACATCTGGCCAGATAAACTTAGAAAATCATGAGTTTGATAAAAATAGTGTCATTTCTACTAGACCCCACCAACCCAAAAAAAAGTAGATGTCTGAAAAGTGCAGTAAGTAGAAATAGACTAAATCAGAGAGAGTACTATTACTTTGCCCAGTAAAACACGGTGAAGCTGTGATACTGTACCTAGGAAATTTCTTCCACAGTTGAAAACTACAGGTAGGAGATGATCGTCTTAGGAGTTCTTACCACCTACATTATGCAGCATCCTTTTCTACAGAAAGAGAAAAATAAGACCATAGACTACAATCAGCGGAACTATGTTCAAAAGTAATGCTTCAGTTCAGCAAAGAAGCACTAACTCCAGTTGGGTAAAACTTCTTTAAGGAGCAGACTCTGTTCTAGCATTTGAAGGGTAGAAACTGAGAAAGGATTCTTTATATGAAAGGAAACCAGGTTGACAGTAATGGTTTCTCAGTTGGTTTGTCTACTTCATGTGTTCTGCACCTACGTTATTTGTCTCTGAGTCTGAGTTTATTTCTAAAATTTTCTCTCATCTAAACAGATCTTCTCCAGAGTATGTTGGCTTGTTCTGCCACAATGTATCTCTTCTTTGGACTTGGTCAGAAATAGTGGTAGTGCTGATACCAGCGCTTCAGAATAGAAAGGCAGGAGGTGAGAACAAAAGACCCAAGTTGAGACAGATTGGGAAATGGCAGTGCCGATGACTCATGACATCGTGAATATCCTAAATACTACTTTCATACACTTTAAAAGGCTTACATTAGTGAATTTTAAGTGTATGGAAGAAAAAAAAGATGATATAGAAAAAAGTTGTCCTGTGGGCTAACTTGCAGTTTACCTATGTTTGTGGTCATTTCAAAGCTTTAATACTGGATTCTTAACATTGTAACTATTTTGTCATTTCTATGAAAATATCTGGTTTACTGATTTTCAACTTCTAAGACCTTTCCCTAAGATTGGAACCTGAGGCCAGGGAGATAGACCAGCAGCACCAGCGCCTGCCTGTCAAATGCAAGGTCCTGAATTTGAGTCCTGGTACAAAAAGCCCCCAAAACATTAGAACCTGATGTCAAAGAGGATATACTCATGAGTTGTTGAATTATGGTTTGTCTATAAAATAGCAAAATTCTTTTAATTTTTCTCTTAAGTATTTTGTTTAAATATTTCACATAGTTTATCAAGAGTAACTTAAAATCTTTTCTACCTTAGTGAATTTCAGGTGCTAGAAAATACTGCCTTTTAATGACCTATTGCTGTTTATCTCACATTGACTTTCAAATTGTTTTAATGAAGGCTTTATTAAAAAGGCTTGAAGCTGTGAAGCCCACAGTTGGTATGAAACGCTCAGAACAGCTGATGGATTATCACCGCAATATGGGTTATCTCAACCCAGCACCTTCTTCCAGAAGAGTAAGATCTATGCTTGGCCAGTACAGCCAATTAAGTAAGCATATTCAAAACTATTTGTACCTGTTGATATCTTGTATTCTTTTTTTTTTTTTTTTTAATGTAGACTGTGGTTTGTGGTATGAGTTCTAAATGTTAACTTCAGGAATTCATCTATTTGTCCGTCTGTCCGTCCGTCTGTCTGTCTGTCTGTCTGTCTATCTATCTGGTGCAGGGTCTTACTACTCAGCTCAGATTCCTAGTGATCTTCCTATCTCTCAGTCTCTCCAGCGCTGGGATTACAGGTGTGTACCACCATGCCCACTTTCATCTACCACTGAGCTACATACATCCCAGGCTCTTTTTTACTTTTCTTTGTTAATGGTTTTTGTTGGGGGAGGTAGTATCTTACTGAGTTGCCCAGGCTGGCCCCAAATTTGAGATCCTCCTGCCTCAGCCTCCTAAGTAGCTGGGTTTACAGGCCAGACATTTTCCTTTACTTGAAGTTTATGCTATTACTCCACATTTGCATTCTAAACTATATATGTTTATCTATCTTATCTGATGCCATAGTAAAAAGAGCTGAAACTGCTTACAATGCCACACCTTCTTAGTGCAGGTGAGTCTTACACACTCAAATGACTGGTAATTGCATCAGTTCATTTTACAAATACTGCTTTTTTAAATAGAGTGACTAAAATAGGATCTTGTTCCAGTGACCCATATTTAATATTGTGCCTTGAATATAATAAATTATTTGTTAAATAATACATAAATGTTATACATAATGGTTTTCTTTTTTCACTTCAGTTATTTGAGCAGCTTTTAGGTGCTGCATCTCTTAAACATTCTAGTGTATTTCTGGTTTGAGAATTGCTGCGTAGGCCATTGGGCATGTGTGAGATGATGACGGTAACCTAGGTGACCTAGGTGAGGAGGCTGACCAAATGATGATTCATGGTTTCGTTTCAGTAATTCAGTGCTCCCTTCTTCTCTCTGTGTTTTTAGGAGGAGCTTCCAGGACATCCAGTGCTACCAGTGGCCTCAGCTGTAAGACTGAGCCATCAGGTTTTGACACATCTAACAGCCTGTCGCTGAGACCTAAACCTCCTAATGTCCGTGCTGCTTGGTTATAAAGCCTTTTTCTTTTTACTGTAAATATTTTTGATCCAATTTTTATTGATGTGATTTTGTATATTACCACAATTCAGTGTAAACATCTGTAATTTTTTTAGCAGTACAAAATATACAATAGTGAGTTGTAATTGATTGTTACTCAGTGCTAAATTGTCAAAACGACAATTTAATGTAAAGTCAGTGTTTCCTATGAGAATGTATTTATATGAGATATATATGTATTTATTAGAGAAATGGTATCATAGTGTGCATGTGTATTTTCTCAATGTAGAAATGGAGTAGTCATGCTAACAAAGCAGTAGTAATATCATAGTATGTTGCACCCAAGGTGTCCACTATATAGTTCTCATTTTCTATTTTCATTTTTTGTAGGCTTTAAGCCTTGAGCTTATCTCTTGAATTTGATCAACTTTGTTTTCTATTTGCTTTAGGATTTATATGGAATGAGTCATAACCTGATAGTGAAAATTATACTTTATTTTTATGAAACAAGCTTTGAAATGTTTTTTGTCGCTAGAGTTAATTCAGGTTTGGTAAGCAGAGAGAAGCTTTTCCTTAGAATTCACCAGGAGTATCGAATACTTCTATGTAAGGCCATTCAGTTAGGTCTTAAAATTTTGATTAGCTATTTCAAACTGTGAATAGTAGAAAATTCAACTTAGAAATTCCTATTTTAATGATACAGAGAAAGCAGGTGGGCTTTAGAACTATAATCTACAGCCTTGTGACTAGTGTGTCTGTACATCAGATCAATTGTACAGTAAGCAGAACAGGTATTTGTTCAACCAGCAAAATAGCATCACCAGTGTAGAGGGCCAAGAAGCAGATCCCAAGATGTATCAGAACAGTGTTTTATGTGATTCTGTTAGTGTATTGTGCTATGATTTAGTATTGTATTGAGAGATGATTTAAAATAAAGCTTTAGAAATTCTAAGAACCCATTAAGGTTCTGAAAAATAAAATACAATATGAACAATCAGAGAAAGGTCATACCTGCTTTAAATATCAGCTAGTTTTCTGGCTTGATTTTGATATATTTAGTGGAATGTTGGGAGTAGCATTTTTGCCAATTTTACAGTTAAAGGACTGGTAATCTGGATGAAGTTGTTAATGGCAGATAGAATATAATATCATGGATTTTTCAAAATTACAATATTTTTCTGCCAGTTGATATCCTCTTATTTCATACAGTGATGTATGGTCCTTTATAGGCATCACTGTTTTTCATTACTGGACTTTTCAGTACATCCTTAGAATATATAGGAAAGTTTTTATATATGACAAATCTTTTGTTTTTAATACTAATTTTCCACAGTAAGAGCTGTTTGCTACATCTCCTTTTTCTTAACATATTTAACAGAATGGCAAAATACATTTTTCTAAACATCAACTTACAATTTATTGGCCTGAGTACTTACAGATTTTGTGTAGGATAAGACACATAAAGCATGGGGGGAAAGGGGTTAAATTCCTGAAAACACAACCTGGCCAGGAGACTCTTCTGCTGTTTTCCTTGGGCTGTAACATTGTTCTATGTTATTTGATACTTTGTTTTAGAGAATAAATTCTTATACTTGTTTTATGTAAAAGCTGAACAAAGGTTTTCTTTGTGTAGTGGACTTTTAATGTTTATGTAACAGTTTTTCTTTAAAGAGATAAAATGCTGAATTTAAAATTTGCCCAATAGTGAGTCAGTTTTTAAAAATAGATTTTTATTTGAGGGGGCATAATGTATATATATGCACACACAGAATCTTTATATAGCATTAGTCAAGTACATCTTACGTAATCTCTGCTGCCAGGTATCAGAATACAGCTATTTCATAGCTATTCTTTGATTTTTAGATACCAATTTAATGCCTTCAATTTTTACATCTTTAGAAGGGGAAGTTTTGTCTTAAGTATTACTAATAACAGCAATTCAATTTCAAGTAAAAGTTGGGGAGAACAATGGTCTTTTTTAAACAAAATGTATAATTTTAATGTTATAGTTGCTTAAAATATAAGAAGGTTATAGGCAGTAGAAATGTAGTGTTCTCTGACACTAAGTCGAGGTATTTAAAAATTGTTATGGTTCAAGTTACATTTTTGATGGAGGAATCATAAGTATACTCATTACTGTCATCATTATCTAGAGCATGAGAAAGTGAAGGGTAATCTAGCTTTATATTTGATTAATTTGGAGCTAATATACATACCTTGAAGATTTATATCTGTAACTAGAAAATATGCAATTCAAGGCCTAGTTTTAGGCCATAGTCTTACTAAAAATTATTTTCATCTCTGTCAAATATTGAATTAATGTTGCCTCCTTTTAGGATTCTGTGAAGAATTTTTAAACTTTTAAAATTATTTTTTAAAGGGTAGCTGTTATCTCATTTTTCCCCTACTTGCTTTTGGATCTCCATGAAAGCTGCTTTCTTAGCTGCTACTCCAAATAAAGTTTTCTGGCTTGCTTATAAGTATAGTATAGTGGAGTTATTTTCAGTGCATTAACTCAAGGGTCCAAAGTGGTGTCTGAAAAAGAAAAAAAAAAATGGTGTCCAGACAACTTTAAGAAGGTGATTGTGATAGGTAGGATTGTGTGCCTCTCATCTTTGGATTCAAACTCAGCAGATGTGAAAAGTATTAAGACTGATGTAAATAAAGTAAAAGGTGTGAGTTTATCATATTATTTAAATTTCTAAACTGTTTACTGTGTGAAATGCCAAAGTCTGCACCTATAAATGATTGTGTGTCATCTTAGAAAATGTGCTTAATGCTGATGGTTACTTGGATTACAGTGAATAAGGTTAGTACAATACTTATAAAGTGACATCTTTTTACAGTTTCCTAGTCTATCGTAATGTATTTTAGGCATGAAGGAACTGACTTGGCCTAGGGGAGAAAGAAATAAAACAAAGGTAACTGATTTTTGATACCATGTCTTTCTCTAAAATCTATTATCTTGTTTCTCTTTTTAAAATCAGAATAATAACCTCAATGTATCTCTTAAAACTAAGACTTAAGATGAAGTTGGGAGGAGGTTAGAGGCTGTTTATATTTTTGAAAGCATGATAGTGGAAATGAATTTGCTTAAAATGATAATCCTGCTCAGCATTTCTTTAAAATACTACCATATTCATTCTGTAAAATTGTTATGGTGCTACAGTAAAATAGATATTCTTTCAAAGCCTGAAGGAATGTTTTTTTAAAAAGTAGCTGTGTATGTGATGTTATTTCTATGCTATATAATGTGAGTAATAAATGTTCTTTTTAAAACTTGGTTCTAAAACATAGGTTTAGCAGGCTTTTGTTGGTTTTGTTGTTTTAGTGAGGGTTAAATAGAAGTAATGCCACTGGAATAAGTCACTGAATAGTTCTCAACTACAAAGTTAAAAGATTCTTCCAGCAGACAGGGTTGTATTATGGAAGAAATTTTTGAGTTTTTAAATCCTGGTAATGTTTTTAAAAACCACTTAGAGATATTTCTGAAAACAGTATGATAAGACTGTTAATTTCAATGCCTCTATTTCAAAATCCATTTGGTACATTCAGTAGTTGCACTGTGTACTCTAGATGATGATTTAAAGTTTTAAATAAAACTTATGTAACCTGTCATTATTACACTATAATCAGATTTTTTTTTACATGAATCTGATTTCACATCCAGTATTTTAAGATGGTAAAAGAACTTGGACAGTCACCAGAAAAAAATTAAAAGTTACAGTTCTAAATTCTTAAAGGATGATATTACAATGATAAAACCCATATATTTATTTCACTAATTTCAGAATTAGAGCTCATCTCCAAGTTTGGAATATGTCATTTATTTTTTTTTAAGTTTTATTTAGTTTATTTAATTTAATTTTGAATAGTAAAAACAAATAGCAGAAACAAAGACAGAAACAGTAACATATAGCAATACATATGTTACAGATTTTCAAAACAAGAATAGCTAATTAACAGTGGTGTTACATTACTATTTTTATTGTCAGATCTGTTGCTCAGGTTAACAGATACAGTTATGCAAAATTGGACACATAATTGAATATTACCACTTGCTTTCAAGAAACCTAATATTTTTTGTCCTTACTTTTTTAAGAAATTATTTTAATGAGTATAATAATAATTGATAAGACATTAGAAATGGTACACATTTAGAAGACCAAGTGTGGTTTTTGTATTACACATTACTGTCCTTGATGTAGTTGCTTAGATTGCAAATATCAGCATATAGAGTTAGTCAAGGTGAAAAGTCTACACATGAACTACTATTTTCAAAAAACTAATGGAAATTATTAGTACAATCATCTCAGCCATCCTGTATATATACTTGCATGTTTCCCCACTTCCTTTTTCCTTATTTTTTCTAATTTCTTTCATCTTCATTGTTTAATCTTTAAGTTTATTTTCTATTTTACTGTATTGTCATTCATTTTTCTTAATATTCTGAGAATGTTTGTTTCATGTAAAGAATACCGAGAATTAAGTAAGTACAGTATCTCTCTTCAGTTACCTGTGCTATGTAGAAAAATAGATAGTAACTATAACTTTTTTTTTTTCATCCTGCCTCAAGTTTATTTGACAAAGAGCACAGAAGGACACCAGCCCCCAGATGGCATCCCAGGTCACAGGATTGGTCACACCAGTCCTTCTGTTTTTACATCAGCAGATAAGAGGCTTTTACTGTGGAGCCTTCACAAGGGCCTGGGCACCTTTAGGGGCCTGGATACATTTGGGAGCCTAGGCTGGAACAGAAGCTGGAGCCTGGGCCTTTGGCTGGCAAGGACTGAAACCCTTGGCAATGTGGGCACAGATACGTTTCCCAAGCTTGGGGTGGGCAATATGGGCAAGTCAAGCAAGCCTGCAGTATATATCCTTTGGAATGATCTTGGTCTTGACCTCCTTGGGCTTGACGAGGAGGTGCCTCGGTATGTGCTCTCATGGCCTTGGCATTGTTTGCTTGCATCTTCTTGAAGCCCTTCTTGTTGTGCCTCTTGGCAAAATGCATGTTCCTAAGGATCTGCCCCCTTCAGAGGTTCGTATCTTTGTGACCAAGGTTTCTTGATGCCATTTCTGTGCCATTTTCAGGACTGGTTGTGCATGGTGTGGTGCTTATACTTGGCCATAACTACCTGTAAACTATGGCTGTGTAACTCTATTAACTCAAGATTTCATTTTAAATTACAGTTTTGGTAATGTGAGAGAGGTTTTTTTTTAGGTAAATGCATACAAGAGAGAGACATTTCATACGTTTTGAGGTTTTTTTCAACCGCTTATCAAAGAAGAGTATAAAACCTAAATGTAAATCTATAACTCAGTAGTTACCACAAAACAGATACCTGAGTCACCGCTATCCAGACCCAAAGTTGGAATACTGTCAGAATTCCCAATGTCCTGTAGGGCCTCTTTCCAGACTTTTCAACCCTTCACCTGCAAAATGTCAAGTACTCTAATACTAGTTTTGCTTGCTTCTGAGCTTCATATAAAGCAAACTATATTCTTTTGTGTGTTATGGTTTTGGTCCACATATTTGTGGGAGTCTTCCATGTTGTTGTGTGTAAGTAACTGTGATTCATTTTTATATCTACTGTGTGGTGGTTAGATAATATGGAGTGCCTCCAGGTAAATTTAGGCTAATATGTCTATTGTGACTTTAATTGCCTATTCTAATTACACTTTATTTTATTGGCTGTGAAAGGTAGTCATTTGTGAAGTGAAGTTTCTTGCCAATTTTTGTTTGGGAGAATTTTTTTTTTCTTGATTTATAGAAGTAGTTATATGTTTGGATTCAGTACAGTCCCTGTATGAGTTATATATTTTTGGTCATTCTTGCTTTTCTTTTCACTATAAATGATATTTCTTGATTTAAAAAGTGTCGCATAGCCTTTTCCTAGTGGTTACTACTTTTTTAATGTTGAATTTTATAAAATATCCCTTTAATAGTGGCACAGCTTTATATTTATTAAAGGTAGGGAAAAAAAACAGGCCCTGCAAGAATGAGTTTGGGCCAAGTAAAGATAGGAAAGAAGTGAGGGGAAAAAAATTAAAAATATACCCTAGATTAGAGCATAGGGTAGGCCACTATGAAGAGATGCAATAGCAAATGCTTAATGGCGAATAGTCCTCCTGTTTTCCACACTGGTGTCATGTCCAGCCCATTCTATCAAAAACCTTCTTGGGTTCTCATGAGAAGTCCACATGCAGGGCTTTGAAAGTGGTTCTGTACATGTCTTAACACCAGTTTTAGCCACACCATATCTTCCTGCTTCACCCCCCCCTTAAGAAACGGTATCCCCATAATTTTTATGGGGTCCTGAGGGAGAAGAGGTCTCTGTCTTCATGAAGCTACTTCCTGCTGGAAGGGGCAGCAGACCCTACCTACTGGAGGTTATGTGCTCTCCCAACTACTGTAGGGTGTTGTGGCTCGGTGGCTGGGTTGAAGACAAACTCTGTACTGGGAGCTGCATTAGAGTCTTGCTTCTTGAAGAGAAACCTCAGGTCCTTTTTTTTTTTTTTGGCAGAACCGGGGGTTGAACTCAGGCTCTTGCACTTGCCAGGGAAGTGCTTATTCCACTGAGCCATCTCCCCGGCCCCCAACCTCAGGTCTTTTAGAGGTTTGTGGGAGTAGCTTTTTTCTTCTAAGCTGTACTTTTTTAGACAGTACAAGAGAGGCTGGCTTTATTTTTTTT